CCTCACCCACTGGCGCCTCTTTTCCATGCAAGGAAAAAAGGCTCAACATGGACTTGTAGAATTCTAGACTTTCTTTCAAAAAAAGAGGCTCATTTTCAATGGAATGTCTTTTAGGTTAGTTTCATCGATTTCATCTCGCATCCTCTGTGGGAGATGTGGTCCGATTTGGTGCATCCTGCGGCACAGGACATTCTTGAGCTGTTGGAGTACAACCGCAATTGGTACTTCAACCTCATCCATGCTGACGATCACCATCAGCAACAGACATCACAACAGACTAAGGAGACGGATGATTTCACTACCACCACCACAACATCAACTACCACCACCACTACTACTACCTGAAGTCCTCATCGAGTTGATCTACCACCCCATCTAGTGTAGACCTTCTTTCCTCGTTAATTCCATTCCTCACTCTTCTCTCCCACGGTCTCCCTCGTAGAAGACGCAAAGGAACGAGTATTGAGAGGTAGGAGGACAAGAAGCAGGGTGGCATATTTTCGATGTATCTTTCCATCTCCCTTCCCCCTGCTCCAATTCATCTGTGGCTTCTTCTCCCTCACAATTTATCGCCCATCTTTACCATCCGACTACTACTTATCTCTCTGTCAATTATAATTATTGTTGATGCGTATCGCTACTGCCACGCTGTTTTATACCTGGATTCGAAGAAGAGGAAGACGAAGACGAGCCACCACTCCATTGTAGCATCCCCCCACCCAAACCCTCTCTCCTTCCCTCCCCCCACCACTCCGCTCCTATTCTATCTGGTATCCTTTCCCTCAAACTCCTTCCCCGCACCCTCCCGGCATCCAATGCGTGTGTGTACGTGAGAAAAACTTTCCGACTCAGTTGTACAAATTGCCCCACAGAGAAAATAAATAAGAGAATGAGTTGAGACAGGGTGTGGCTTTTGACAAATGTTGGTTGGTAAGTGACGTTTGTGTTACTCTTGAATACTTTTTGATGCTTTCGTTAATGCACAGAAGGAACTGTGGAGGCTGATAGCAGCGGTTAAAGTACTTGCATTCGAGGCGAATGTCTTTCCTTGCCTCGACGTTGAGTTCCAACAGCGGACAACATGTTCTTCACGAGGAGTGTGATTTGCTATTAATCGCGTCCTAGATCACTAGGGGCAAAGTCATCATCCATTTCTTGCCTCCTCTCCGCCATTGCGCATCAATGCCGCGTGTCGTAACGGCTAGCAAGTGTAAGAAAGCCCTTCAAGATTCGGAACTGAAGGTCGTGCCATGCTTGGCCATGGTCGCCTATTCAATTATTTTGTTCTTCTGACAGCATCCAAGACTGGAAACTTCATTGCAAACACAATTCACTCCACTCTCTCCTCATTAGCATCACATACATGTGGCACCAACTAAAACGAAATGGTTGAAAGTACACACGGTGTGGGCCGCAGAATAGTCTTTGTTTTTCGTCTTCTTAGTGCAACACTTGAGCAGACTGTCATGGCCGATTGCCTCTTGTGGAAATGGGTTCAAGAATCTGTGCGTCCACCGCTTTTAATGCCGCTTCCTCACTATTCACTTGCTTCTAAAGGCCCAGGAGGGTGACACGCCTTGCAATCATGAACGTGAACAAATAATTGTACGGCAAGATCGTCTCCATGGTAGTTGGCACCCAAGTCTAGTAGCTGAAGTGCTTTCTTTCCATGACGCAATTGGCACAGCAGTATAACAACCTGGTACACCCAATCGGTGTCGATAGGCATCGAAGAGTTGAAAATGTATTATCAAAAACGTGTGCAAGACCTGAAAGCATGACGACAACACAAGAAACGTGGAGAAGGCAGTCAACTTTAATGTCTCCGGTATTCCAGAAGTTATTCAATACCCTTTCAAAAGTACAATGGCATCACCAAGGCCCCTGGGTGTGCGCAAAGTGAAGCATTGATAAAAAGACCAGCTCCAACTGCCTTTGATAAGTTAAATCAACCACTGAAGCAATTGACAAGTAGCGATAAATGGGATTTAAGATAAGCTACGATATCGTACTGAAGTGATTCAATTGGGAGAATCTTCTGCTTCTGCCATCATAGGCTCCAGCGAAATAAGCACAGTTGGTAAAGGAGACCTTCTGCTGACCTTGCAGTTGATGTTCTTTCAGCTAAACCCAGTGACCCAGTCGATAACTTGGCGGTGGCCTGAGATGCCACGTTACTGTTGGTCTTGGAAAGGCCAACCGCGCGCTGACACCTTCACAATCGCTTATGAGTGAATGAGCCTCATTTGTCCCCTCGATCGAGGAGAGTAATATGAGGTCATCAAAATTCAAGATAAGAAACCCAACGACACCATCCGAGACCTCGTGCCTCACATACATACAGCAAAGGTGAGGGAGCAAAGCAGCATCAACCAATACTGCACCACATTGTCTCCTCTCTGTTATCTGATCTGATCGGGAGTTTGTTTGGCTGAAACCACTATTCCCACTTTAACTTCGTATCGAGAAGTGAACTGACATTTCAACTGGGGGTTCCAATTTAGCATTTTTTTAGCCGAAAAAATGCAATCTTAATAGCACTACTTTTGAATTTATTAAAATCTACACAAAAAGTCCAAACAATACGCCCTGAGGAGCGGCGCCAGCAAACCAGAGAAGATAGAATGGAATTACATGAGAGCTAGGTCACCAGAACGTGGTGCCGTGTTGTGCAGAAGGTTGTAAATACGCGACTCAATGCCACCAAGGAGAGAGCTGGCTCCAATTCGGAAGTACTCTCGATTCACCCAACCCGGACCCAGCATGCTGTGCACCAGAGCTGTGAACTCCAATGCGTCCCGCCAAGACCTCAATCCACCTGCCGGCTTGTAGCCCACCTTAGGAGGCAAGAATAGATTGATCAACGACAAAGACCATTGCATCATGAGATGGTTCATCACCTGCAACGCTAGTTTACAACGCCACTTTTAGGTGGTTACCTATACGTCCAGTGATGAAGTGTTTTTGAAAGACGCTGAACCTATTTGAAGAGGGAATAGTCGTCAAAACATTCCGAAGTGGGTAAACGTATCGAAGCGCTTCGACTTAATGCCGTACATCTCAATGAAATCCAGTGGAAGAAAGCTCGCCTTCAACCCTCAGGATGCCGTCATTTTGAGATGCTTCAAAGCCATCCAGAACCGCACTTCTTGCAATTTAGGAGGCCAAATTAAAAAAGATTTTATTGTCGACTATGTAGGTATGAGGTATCTTTCTGAAGCGCAAACATTCGACAAAAAACACGCAATTCAAGGACAACATCAATGATTGCAACTAAGTCTACCAGATCTGAAAAATTCAGGACTTTCCACCTATTTTATATTTTATTCAACCCGTTTGCGACACAATCTGATGCAGCTA